GCATAGAAACAGAGGAGGAAATTAACAGAGGAGGAAATTAACAGAGGAAATCCATCTAGTAAGTACGACTGAGACTTGAATGTCCATGATGTTAGCTTGAGCGATGTGATGGGCTGCAGAGTGTGACAATAGGACGTCGTTGAACAACACGTATTCAGCATTATTCACACGGGTGATCGGGCTTCTACACATAGAGACGAGCAAATAGATACCAGAGTTCTGACGAGTGAATGGGTAGGCGTAAATAATTTATCGTCGCTGATCTGAATGCACCTTCAACTGCAAGTTCAGATAGACTAGATCGGGAACGATCGTCTCGCCATGCAAGGCCAAGAGCTAAGAAGGCTTATACGGAGTCATTGATAGAAATCATAATAGTGGGGGAGAAGAGATGGCCGCTGTTGTGGGGAGAAGAGAGCGACCAATGAGGAACGAGATGATGCAACGCCCTGGAGTCGGAGAAGCGTCCGTCCCCGCGGTCTCCGAGCTCGCATCGATAAATTATCAGGAACAGCCAGCCGCCACGAGAGGAGCAGCCAGCCCCCCACCATGTCTCTCGCACGCTTTGGAGGTGCTCTCGCGCGCGCAAGGTGCTCCCCGCGGCCGCAATGGCACGCAGCGTATGTCCCCAAGTCCACCACACGTCCGACCCGCCAGTCTAATTGCTTGCAGACGTGCGCTTTCCAGCTCCGCCATCCGCACCGCCAAAGCCGACAATGAGCTCAATTCGGTCAGCAAGCACATCACCCAGCCCAAGTCGCAGGGCGCCTCGCAGGCCATGCTGTACGCCACCGGCATGAGCGAGACGGACATGAACAAGGCCCAGGTTGGCATCTCGTCCGTCTGGTACTCGGGCAACCCGTGCAACATGCACCTGATGGACCTCAACCACAAGGTCAAGGAGGGTGTCGAGCGGGCCGGACTGCTGGGCATGCAGTTCAACACCATCGGTGTTAGCGACGGCATCTCCATGGGCACAAAGGGCATGCGCTACTCGCTGCAGTCGCGCGAGATCATCGCAGACTCCATCGAGACAGTCATGGGCGGCCAGTGGTACGATGCGAACATCTCCATCCCCGGCTGCGACAAGAACATGCCCGGTGTCATCATGGCTATGGGCCGTGTGAACAGGCCTTCCCTCATGGTTTACGGCGGTACCATCCAGCCCGGCTGCGCGAAGACCCTCGAGAACCAGCAGATCGACATCGTTTCCGCTTTCCAAGCATACGGCCAATTCATCACGGGCGAAATCACCGAAGACCAGCGATTCGACATCATCAGGCACGCTTGCAACGGGCAGGGTGCTTGCGGAGGAATGTACACAGCAAACACAATGGCCACGGCAATCGAGACAATGGGCATGTCGCTACCTGGCTCTTCGTCGAACCCGGCGAACTCCAAGGCGAAGATGTTGGAGTGCCTTGCAGCGGGTGGTGCCATCAAGAAATTGCTCAAGGAGGACATCCGCCCGAGCGACATTCTTACCCGCGAAGCATTTGAGAACGCCATGGTCGTCATCAGCATCACCGGTGGCTCAACCAACGCTGTTCTTCACTTGATCGCGATCGCTGACTCTGTTGGTCTCAAGCTTACCATTGACGACTTTCAGAGCGTGAGCGACCGCATTCCATTGTTGGCGGATTTGAAGCCTTCCGGAAAGTACGTCATGGCCGACGTTCACGATATCGGTGGCACCCCGTCGCTTCTCAAATTCCTGCTTAAGGAAGGACTTCTCGATGGTAGCCAAATGACTGTGACTGGTAAGACACTCAAGGAGAACTTGGAGAACGTCAGAGATTTCCCCGCCGAGCAGAAGATCATTCGCCCACTCAGCGAGCCTCTGAAGTCCTCTGGTCACTTGCAAATCTTGAGGGGATCCCTTGCCCCTGGAGGCTCCGTAGGCAAGATTACTGGCAAGGAGGGCACCCAATTTACCGGCAAGGCCAAGTGCTACGATGCTGAGGATGACTTCATCACTGCTCTCGAGCGTGGTGAGATCAAGAAGGGCGAGAAGACCGTCGTTGTCATCCGCTACGAAGGTCCCAAGGGCGGCCCCGGTATGCCTGAGATGCTGAAGCCTAGCTCCGCCATCATGGGCGCTGGTCTCGGCAAGGATGTTGCACTCATCACAGACGGCCGCTTCAGTGGTGGTAGTCACGGCTTCTTGATCGGTCACATTGTGCCCGAGGCACAGGAAGGTGGCCCTATCGGCTTGGTTCAGGATGGCGATGAGATCACCATCGACTCCGAGTCCAACGAGCTGAACATTGGCGTCAGCGAGCAAGAACTAGCAGAGAGGCGGAAGAAGTGGACCGCGCCCGCCTTGAAGTACCAGAAGGGTACGCTTTTCAAGTACGCGCGATTTGTCAAGGACGCTAGCCAAGGCTGCGTTACCGACTCTGAGTAATCTTCACGTTTGAATGTCTCTCATGTTTGCATACCTATGTATATTTTGATGGCTACAGCTGGGGTAAAAGTCGCATCCGGAGTTTGGGCGGGCAATATCTGTATATTCGACACAATGCTATCGATTTAGCTACTCGATCTTCGGCATCCTCATCATTCATTCTGCTTCGTCCAAAGCTGTCGTCACCATATGTCTCGAGCTTGATTTTGCGTCGGCGGTTCAACCTCTCGATCAGCGCTCTGTCTCCCAAGACCTGACAACACTCTTCCACGCGACTCCTTCATCATGGCCCAGAGCAAGCTCTTCGAATCCCTAATAGCATCCCACGTGGCTTTGTCTACGCCTGTCCCGAACCCTCTGTAGGAAATCCTCACCCAATGCATCAACACCGGTAACGAGTTCAGTGTCACCATGCTCAGAAAAAGAATCCTCCTCAAACTTCAGCCTACGCAACTATGCCGGGTATTGTAAAAGCAACGGCACTGCAAGGTTCGTCATCTTCAAGATATGTCAACATGGCAATGAGTGCTCGAATGTTCCGAGTGGTAGAGGTATAGAGTAAACAGTAAGAGGTGCAACGTCTCCTTCATCAGCTCACAATGCCAGCCTTTACTGACCAAGGACCGTCAGTAAAAGCTGGCTGTGGTCTTTTGGAGGCTGAATGTAGGGCGGTATCGAAGATCAATAGACGTGATGTTCTCTGCACGAGCTTGGATGCCATGAGAGGACAATTGCTGTGCAAAGTGGTGAAAAGGTTGTTTGGTGTCAAAACATGAAGAAGATACGGAACAAGTGAGGAAGACGGGAAGGCCATCTAAAGGCAAGGGCTGTAGAATGAGCTGTTATCTGAGTTTGACAAGGCTGTTGACATCCTGGTACATTTGGTCCCTGATCAGTGAGAAAAAGCAAAAACAGGCACGGCATAAAGTTCCGATACGAAAAACAATAGAATATGCGGGATCATCTCCCGTAAAGTTGCGGCAAGTTGAATCCTTGAACCATTCCTTGCCATGTTTTTCTGTGAAGATTGAGTTTCTCTCTCTCATGCCGGTGAGTGTCAAGAGTTTCGGAGAAAGGTGCGGACAGCTGGGCACGTGAACGCATTGACCATCCTGCGTCGAGAACCACGCCTGGATTGTTTCATCACACACTTACACCTGCAGCCTCAGCTTCATCATGGCAAACTCCGCAACTTTAATGATTTGTTAAGGGGTCGCAGTGACCCAAGGAAATGTCCAAGGAAAGGTAATGCAGGGCGAGCACAGTGTGACCTGGTTGCGCAGCTCCCGGGAGCATGGATTCCGCGCAAGATAGCTCATTTCTCCCCTGACCCGGTGTTTTGGAGTGTTTGTTGATGATCAGGTGTTCATGTTGGACAGTCAGGTACCTGCGCTGGCTGAGCTTGGATAGCTGACGATCATCGACGAAGGAGATGGGAGACCGGCGCAAAGCGGCAAGATTTTGCCAACAACCAGGCGAAACGGCAAGTGTTCATTACCGCTATCTTGGGATGACATGGGAATGCGCTCGCATCGATGACCGGAAAGCTGCAAAGTGGGATATCAGCGAGCTTATTGCCCGCCATCGAGATACCTGCCGTTACAGCTCGAACGACAATCAAGAGTGGAGCTGATCTCCCTCGTTCCGTTAGCCGCGTCGATCATCGCGTCCGCTTTGGGCTGCCCTGAACGCGCTAGACAGAACTTGCCGATGACGCTGAACCATATGTTCCGAAAACGCAAGATCGACGTCTTGGAATGTAAGTCATGAAAGGTGCAGATCGTCAGGGGAGTCATCCATACAACGCAAGCCTAGGGTCACAGAAGACTGGATGAGGCAAGACAGATGCATCGTGAGCCTCACCACCTCGCAGATGGCCAGCAGGATGAGGCGAGTCTCTAATGAGACGGCAATCTGAGCACAATCACCGTTGACTTCCGCAGTGTCCTGCCGCCTACAGATTCTCGCCCCAATTTCGAGTCCCCCGCGAGAACTAAGACGTGTCTTTGACAACTGTTGCGCAACCTGACTTACTCAAGCCCATGAGTAGCGTTCCGGAAGCTTGAAAGCCGGGATCTACCTCGAGATATGCGCTAAGGATGAGGGTCTAGTCCCCTTATCTTCTAGCATGCGTGGGCCATACCCCAGAGGATCAAATCTTACTCCTCAGCTAGGCCAACAAGCTTCAGAGCGGTCTACGTGCAAGAGCCTCATCAGCAACGGCAGTATCGGCGATGCTTTCATGAAGATCGCCAATGCGTGCGCCATGACTAGGCAAGCTGTAGCCCTAGTCTTCTCACCATGGTATGGCTTGGTGTAGGACCTCTCCACTCCGGTGACGATTGCGGCTTGTCTTGGGCCTGAGCGTCTAGGAGAGTATCGATTGACTAGACGTGCTGACTCGGTGTATCAGAAAGTACCTGGGTGCTGTGAGGGCATATAAACCATACTGCAGTCCACCTACAATCATCATCCAGCTCACCTACCACACTCTTTCAGTTCTTTGCCAATCGCTCAGTTCGCTATAGACTAATAATACTTATCCCTCTTAATATCCACCAACCCACCCACCAACAAAACTCCAACCACCAACATGCGTTCTTCCATCGCCGTTAGCATCATTGCTCTCTCCACCTCGGTCCTCGCAGCCCCTACTCCTCAGGTTGCTGGCGTCAACAACCTTCTTGGTTCCGTCACCAGCACCCTCGGCTCTGTCACCAACCCCGGTGCCGGCAACGACAATCTCATCCAGGGCAACGGCAACAGCAACGGCCAGAACAACGGCAACGGAAACACTGCTGGCAATGGCAACGGCAACAACAACGAGGCTGGTAACGGCAACTCTGCTGCCAGCGGCAACAGCTTCAACCTCAAGCCCCTCGGCAGCAGCATTCTGAACAACGGAAAGCGTGCGGCGCTTCTGGACAACCTCAACGGCGTCCCGGTTGCTGGCACCATCCTCAGTGGCGTCACTGACGGCAAGGGTGGTCTCCTCAACGGTGTCACTGTTGGCCCTACCACCGACGGCATCACCGACAACGTTCCCGTTGTCAATGGCCTCGTTGGCCGTGGTGTCACTCAGGGCCTTGACGTCAGCCAGCTGAGCCAGACCCAGCTCCTCTCCCTCCTCAGCCAAGTCACCGGCGCCCTCCAGAACACTGGCAACACTGCTACTGGCACCGTCAAGCCGGTTACCGACGCCACCGTCCCAGTGACTGATGCTGTCAAGCCTGTCGCAGCCGCTGCCGGAGATGCCGTGAAGCGTCAGTTGAACGTTGGTGGTCTCACTGGCACTGCCGGCGGCCTCGTCGGTGGTGTTACTGGCACCACTGGCTCCGTCACTGGTGCTCTTAAGCCCGTCACTGGTCAACTCCAGCCCGTCACCGGCACTCTCAAGCCCGTCACCGGCGCCACCGGAGGCCTCACTGGAGATCTTCTCAAGCGTCAATTGAACCTTGGTGGTGTCACCGGCACTGCTAACGGCCTCGTCGGCGGTCTTACTGGCTCCACTGGCTCCGTTACTGGCACCCTCAAGCCCGTCACTGGCCAGCTTAAGCCCGTCACTGGTGCTCTCAAGCCCGTCACTGGTACCCTCCAGCCTGTCACCGGTACCGTCACTGGCGCCACTGGAGGCCTCACTGGCGATGTCCTCAAGCGCCAGGTCGACCTCAACAGCGTTACTGGCACCGTCAGCGGCCTTGTCGGCGGCATCACCACCACTGCTGGCTCTGTCACCGGCGCCTCTGCCGGCAGCGGAAACTCGCTCCTTAACAACGGCAACAACAACGGCCAAGGCAATGGCGTAAGTACCTATCCAACCCCTCCTATCTCGACTTCAACTAACATCCACTTCACAGAACAACAACCAGGCCGGTAACGGTAACGGCAACGGAAACAGCGCTGGAAACGGCAACCAAGCCGCCAGCGGCAACGACTTCAACGTAAGTCCCGAAACCGAGCTTCCTGAGATCAACGGCCCGCTCGTCGAGCTGCCTGACCTCAACCTCGCTCCCACGATCAAGTCAGTCTAGTCTAGATCATTGGGTAGTAGTTACGTTTTCCATTACATACGCTAACGGTCTCTCGCAGCTTTAAGTGAAGGCGACTATGAATTGAGTGCGATATACTCGGGACGACTTTCCTTTCTACGATGACGATGGCATACCCTGGTTTGCTGGATCTCTATACATATTTAGTTGTAGTACCAATGTACTTTTTTGACCACTGAACAATTTGCATTTCATCCGATTGTTCCATGCGTGATGGCTCAGTAACTGGAGTCCCCAACAGCTTTACACACCTTCAGTCAACGACAGAGGCTACAGTCCTAAGATTCACCATTTTCATGCTTCTACGTCCATCTCCACATGTACTTCCGTACCACGTACTTGGAGCTGTCCTGTCGAATTGCTACTGGCAATGTATGGAATTCCCGATATCATGAGGTCTACAAACAATGAAAACTTTATTCGGCCAGTGTCTACCAGCATATACGGCAGCAGTTCATACGGTAGCAGTAACATCACGGCAGTCGTGCACGGACACACCTTTGGAAATCAATGTCCTGTATAGTCCTTTACACAAGGTAGGAATTGATGAAGATAATTAACGTCATTAGGTATTACTTGCTCCTGTTGTGCTCCAAAAACACCGTACGCGTAATAATTATTTTGCGCCGTGCTTAGTGACCACCAGTAGTGGGTAGCTATCAAATAATTAGCACAATGTCCTTGAACGTGTTTGGGTGAACAACTTACGCCGAGATAGACCTTGAAGGAATCGTAGATGAGCCATTGGAAGGCGGTCAAAGTACCAATCATGAATATACGAACAGGCAGTCCGTTCCAAAGGCCACCGAAACCGATCTTGCCGTATATCCTGCCGATAGCCTGACCAGCGCCCTCGCCAGCCTTTCGGTCGCTGTTGAGCTTCGAGACCATCACGTCTAGTATATGTTAGCTCGCTTTCGCGACTCTTGGGTCTTTACACAATGTTCTCAACGTACCTGCGGGATGCGAGACAACTGCACATCCGACACCAGCAATATATCCACCGAGGAAGCTCACACCGGTTTGCTGCAAGGCCCCGTATGACTCCTTTGGCTTACCCAAGAAGCCGTAGATTTGTTTGACTGTCTCTTCGAATGTCGCGAACTTGACCATGGTGTACGGGATTTGACGCGCCCACAGAGGGTACAAGCCCTTGTACAAACCACCAACACCCTCCTCCTTGATCACCTTCGCCCAGCCTTCTCTCAGTGTGTTTGCGAACGGTGGCATGGTAGTCTGCATGCGGACCTTGATTGCTTCCATAGGACATAGCGCGATGTCGGCGAGGAACTCGGCGGAAGCGGAGGCAGCTAGGTATACGACTGTTTGCGGTGCGCCGGGCGCCAGCTTTTCGCCGTACAGGTATTTGAATACCTCGTAAAATCCGTACTTTCCAGCACCTTGCATCGAGTAACCGATGAAGGTTGGTGTCCAGCCGAAGAACACGCCCCGTAGACCTTCTTTGGAGTAAATCATTTTCCAGGCTTGTGAGTTGGACTTGTAGAGGTTGGAATCGACTTGACGGCGGCATTTCACCTGGAAAACATTAATTAGCAACTGAAAGCCTAATTGACAGCCTGTAAAGTGCCCAGGCCATCACGCGCTCTCTGCAAAAGCATGCGACTTACCAAATCCAGCGGCGTGACCATAGTGTGTGTAGGTCCACACGCGATTATGCCACCCATCGTACACGCCGCAAAGTACGAGCCTGAGAAGAGCTCGATCTTTCTCTGCGGCTTCATCGCGTCCAATTTGTTGGCCATTGTGAGTGATTACCGAATTCCAATCGCTTCAATCGCGTTTATGGGCTTGTTATCGCGTGCGGTATCGTAGCTATCGTCGTGTCGGCGCCGGTTGACTGGTATAATCGTTGTCGCGTGCTGCTTCCCAGGATGCTGTCGCAAGCGAAGAAGAGATTGAGGATTTGTACAAAGGATAGACGAACGCTGATTAGAAGAGAGAACGGGAGATCGGATTAGACTACCTAGGCACAAAAGCCGACCGGGGCGCCTTGTTATGACCGCACAGCTTGGATAGTTGGAAAGCTTGTCCGCAGCTTCCGCAATTACCTCGCTATGACGTCGCTGCTGCAGGTGGGACGCGCGACGACCACGCTGACGAAGCCTAGCGTGATGCTTATCGATACATGAATCCCCGACCCTCCGCGCGCGAACTGTCGGGTTTCGCTGCCAACAGCGCAATGAAAATCCCGTTCTGCTATGTTGAATGTCAATCAACTTTGTGATAAATGCGGGGGGAGAGAAATCATTCCAAATTTCTTCACGTTGACTTCGTAGGAACTAAAGTCCGCGACTTACTCGACTGCTCGGGCAGCTTCACGGTAGAGAAACAAGATGTTATTATTTGCGTGATAATCATTACTATTTGCTGTGTCGTGAAGAGGCTGAAGGTCGTCAAGCGTGATCATCATACCTGGTCTTTAATATACAGACTTCCCCCGTCTAAGTACGCCAAAGCACCACGCTATGCCGCCCAAGCATGAACAATAAAGCAAAGAATGATGAAGAACCGAAGCCAAAACGCCAATGCCAGGGTGCATCACCTGCAGTCCACATCAAGCATCAATCCCTATCAATGACTCCGTCGAAGACCCGGAATGTGCAGGGCTCAAAAACCGTCTGCATATACTCTCATGCTCTCTTGAAGCCCATGATTCAATCCCCACCACCCTGAAATCTCGTTGAAATCGTGATTCGCTCATCTGGTAACAATGCGAGCCTCATCTCTTCGCTGAAGGGCCGCTGCTGGCGCCGCCATACCACAAAGAAGCGAAGATAATGAGCGGATGGAGCTGGGTAAATTGCGGGCGGACGGAAGGCCACCCAACAATTACATGTTGTTATCGTGTATGTTGTCAGTCTCTGAATCACTACCAAAGTCGGAATGATCATAGAGATCTTCCGCTGATAGTCCATCGTCCTGTGGCCATGTCTCTAGCCTTGGCTCAATCTCTCCAGTCCAGTGTGCAATTCGAGAGCTGTCGTTGGTGTCGTCTCTATATGGATCCAATTCGGGATCCTCGCTATGGATCAGATCGTAGAGTTGCTGAACGAGAAACCGGCAAGTTTCGATAAGAGGAGATAGACGAGGTTTGAGCATGCCGTGATCCTTCTCGTACAGAATGCGATCCATCATGTCGGTGGCCATCTCGCGGAGTACTCTCCACCTCATTTGCACCAGATCTAGAGGCCATCCTTCGTAGCTCTTGTATAGCTCGCAGACCAGCATATGTGCACCTTTTCGCACACTGTCTTGTGCGTGTAGCAGCAAAGGAGTGGCCCATATGCGGCTTTTCGCGATGATCCATGTGAAGAATATGTGTCGGTGCTTTTGTTGAAAGATGGCCGCATTCTTCGTTTGCAGAAGACCGCCAACAAAATCTAGGACCGCCAAGCCTCCTGGTACACGATCATCGTCCATTCTACTGGCTGACGCGACCGCCTTCGAGACCGTTGTCACGATCTTGTAAACGTTGTCCACCATCGGAGAGCTCTCGCAATACGAGAGTGCCGCTTTCACGTAAGAATCGCAGAAAGGGGCTTCGAGGGAGACACCCTCGTAGATGCTCTTCAAAAGATTAGTCTGGACTTGTGGGTCCTGCCAATTGAGCATCGATTTGACAATATCGCCCGGGTGGAAGTGTTCCAACTTTGTCTCATCGAACATTTCCAAGGCCTTGTCTAGAACCGCGATCGCCTTCAGGTCGCTGTCCCAGTGGTACAGAACTTGTCGTTCATGGAATGTTAGTGGAAACCTCGAGGTCTCCCGATCCAGCGTAGACAGACGATCGTGCTCGTGGCGAAGAGGTTGCAGACTCGTGTTCATGCGTGAGAGCAACGCTGATACGAATCCAATGAACCTGTTGTAGATACCCGACTTCTTGCTTATGATCCTCCAGAGATCGGGTTGGTCGTCCTGGAATCTAGCGTACGAGTGCATGCAGAGTAGCCTCAAGCAGAATACCAGGAAGCCATGGTCCAATAGAAGACCGGTTTCCAGGTGGCCCATCTCGGCCAGTTGAGTCAGCGTGAGATAGAAATCATCCCAGCCCCGTACGGCCATGTAAGATTCGTCTGCAATGGCACGTAACCTAGCGGTAATCTCTGAAAGTATACCGTTTGTCGGAGTGGAAGATTCCAGATCCATCTCGTTGTCAGCGCCCTCTAGACCGTACAGAGCGGGCTCTTTCTCTCGCAAGACTTTGAGACAGTCAATAAAAAAGCTGCGCATCTGGGACCGCACTTTAGCATGCATGCAGCGAAGAAGCATGTTGAGAAGGGCAATATCGTCGGTAGCGAGTATCTTGAGAACGATATTGCAGCAGGTTGAGCATGGAAGGACCGACCGCCGCAGCTGCAGTATCGTCTCGGAGAAGATATCGGCATTTGTATGACGCCAGACGATGTGCCCTAGATGCGCAAGTACTATCTGCAAGGAGTCCTTTTCCTGTAGGAAGTTAGCGTCTCGGACTTAGTAGGTTGAAGATAACATGGCGTACCTGCGTGTGGCCTTCGGAGCAAGAACCGTGGTTGAGTGTACGTGACATAGCATGCAGCTGCCGCACGAACCTTGTATGATTGGGGTCGAAGCGGGAATATTCTCGGATAAACAGCTCGTTGGCAGAATCAACTTCCTTCTGGAGAGTTGGCGGCATGGGAACCTTGAGCGTTTTCCCGTCTGCAGAAGTGACCCACTCACGCTGGTCATCATCCACAGCGGTGCGGCGTTGATAGAAGAGCATATATGCCGAGTATTGTTTTGGTATGCGGTTGTATGAATCGTCCGTGAAGCCTCCGAAAGCTTTGTAAGCAATGTCTGCTGGGTCGAAAGACCCAACACTGCTATCATCAAATTCCACCCAGGTTTGTGCCGTGGTTCCTGTGGGACAAGGTCGCTCACGAATGTAAGAATAGTAATGACCGTGCTCGCAGGTGCCCGTGTGTACGAGCACACCAACAAGA